GGAAAATGACCATTTTCGAAAGATAGGCCGAACTCGCATGTCAAAATGTCATTGTGACGCTGATTTGACGCTTGAACCTGACTCTTCCGCTACAGGGTGGATTGACGTCTCATTAGACGCATAATCATTTCAGACGATTTCGGAGGGAGCCGTTTTTTATATGATATCGTATGGTACTCAGCCCGCTTCGAAAGCTGGCATCATTTCCCAGTAAACTTGTGATGAGTTTCACTTAAGCCAAATCTATTTTGAACTCGCGGCATATTAAGCTGATTGCCACTCTGACCCCGAGCAGCGCGGTACATTTTCAAGTCAGCCTTAGTTCTGACGCAATGAGAGGTGACTTAGCCCTGGGATCAATTTTTTGATGCAGTTGGTTCTAGCAACAGCAGTTTAGGGGTTATCGGGTGTCCCGGGCTTCATAGCATGCATCACATAACGTTAAAAAGCAGCCACATCATAATAAACGATGCAATTAGTATAACTCGTGAATTTCATAATGGTCTATGTAGAACAATCATGTTGATGATCTGGTTTATATGTATATGTATATGTATAAGTAAATATATGAATACATGCATATATATATATATATATATATATATATATATATATATATATATATATATATGTCCAACTCACAACAAAGGTTCAAACTAATCAGCTGAATAAATATCTGTCGACTCTCGAGTCACACGACACGGAGTTGAGCACAAGTCCGCAGCCACTGCCGGGTGGCAGGGACTCGGCAGTCAAGCGGGGCTGCAGGGGTGCTCACCGTGTGGTGGGTGGCACACACTAACTACACACAGCCCGGCAGTGCTTCGTAAGTGGCAGGCGCTGGGGCAGCCGGTGCCGTGTGCGGCCCAGCCGCGCTAGAGGGCCACATGGTGTTAGTCTTTGTCCTCCCAGACCGTGTCATTGGCGGCTGCCCCTAGTTCTTCCCAAGTCTCGCATCTCAACACCCGCACTGCGCTGCCTGCGTGCCAGCGGCCCGCTGGGCGGCGCCATACACTGGTCGCGGTGCTCTCGCAGGAGCAGCGGGTGCTCTGTTTTGACCTGTCCTGACCTAGCCTGTACTGTCCCGGTGTTGTGACCTGAACTGGCCCTCTTGCAGCAGCAGCGGGTTATCTGTTCTGACCCGTCCTGACCTACCCTGTCCTGTCCCGGTGTTGTGACCTGGACTGGCCCTCCCGCAGGAGCAGCGGGCAATCTGAATTGACCTGTCCTACCCCGGCGCTGTGACCTGGATCGGCGCTCTCGCAGGACGAACGGGTGGGGCTGGCCCGGCAGCTGTACATCCGCGACCTGGACCACCACAGCCTGGAGCACTACAGCGTCCGGCTGGAGGGCGACAGCCGCGGCCTGCTGCGCATAGCGCCGGGTCATTACCCGCTGTCCGGGGCCTCCGGCCGCCGACACGACGGCGAGGACTGGGAGACCATGCTATTCACAGGTCAGCCTCCGCTACATTCCGCTTGGGACTGGTGTTCGGCTGTGTTTGCATGCATGTAACTGCTGAGGTCATTTGCTGCTGACGTCATCAGCTGGTGACGTCATCGGCAGCTGAGGTCATAAGCCGATGACGTTATCAGCCTTTCCATGCCCCGGCAACACTGGAGCCATGTACAAAGAACCTCGGCCCATTGTAATTATTGACCGCCGGCCCTTTTAGCTGGCTGATATCTTTTATTTACCTCGAACCGCGGCGTGCTGTTCACAGCTTCTAGCAACATCTCATATCAACTCGCGTATGCATGCCACTTCTTAATGACGTCTGGGCTGCGCGGGCATAGGTGGCGTCTGGCGTGTGGCGTCTGGCGTCTGGCATCTGGCGCCTGACGTCAGGTGTCTGGCGTCTGGCGTCCGGCATCTGGTGTTTGACGTCTGGCGTCTGACGTCTAGCGTCTGGCGTCTGACGTCTGGCGTCTGGCGTCTAAGCTGGGCACGGCGGGCGTTGGACTCCTGTATTCGGTGCAGCCTCGCACCTCGCCGTCGGACATTCGTTTCGCACTCGCGTTATTCTCCCACTGTATGGATTTAGCTGCTCTCTACCCATTTTTGTTGTTATGGCGGATCGCGTCACTGTTATCGCGTCCTTGTTATCGCGTCATTGTTATCGCGTCACCGTTATCGCGCCACTGTTATCGCGTCATTGTTATCGCGTCATTGTTAGCAAGGATCGCGTCACCAGTGCCTTCTTACCTTTCCCAAAGCGGGTCACCCTGGCGGGTCCCCAGAGTGGGTCACCCTAGCGGGTCCCGAGAGCGGGTCCGCGAAGCCGGCATTGCCATATCATTTGCAAGGCCGTCGTGTGGTAAATAATGCGGCTCACCATCGCAGACAAGCCTTCAGTCCCAAGAGCCCCGGCCTGTCATGGAGCCATGTCACAGGAGCCCCAGCCTGTCACAGAGCCATGCCATAGGAGCCCCGACCTGACACAGAGTCATGTCACAACAACCCCGATCTGTCACGGAGCCACGCCATAAGAGCCCCGGCCCCTCACGGAGCCACGCCATTAGAGCCCCGGCCTCTCACGGTGCCACGCCATGAGAACTCCGACCTATCACGGAGCCATGTCACAAAGACGAACATGCCGCGGCTAACGGGACTTAGGATTGCCCGGCACTGGAGAATCGTTCAAGGTGACCTGCAGCACATGTATCCTAGTCATGACAGCTACGTGCTCACAAGTAATGAGAGTGTTTGATGACAAGGTCGGCGCCGTCAAAAGCGCACGCCACTGGAGGGGCCATTATTTGGACCACATGTATTTCAGGCAGGCGCTTACACGTTAACGTATAATGCAGATCGGAGGCGTTTTCGCTCTTATATCTTGTCGTTCTCGTGCAAAAACTCTGCGGCAGTGGTGTCATGTGACAGGTCGACACGACGCTCGGCATGGTATGTGTTCCCAGTTTGCATCTAGCCATCAATAATTTGTGTTAACAGTGTTTTGGAGGCATGATGCCAATCCGTGGGCCTAGGTGCAAGGAGGGGGGGGGGGGGGGACACAGAGCCATAGTCCCTCCACTTTTTGTGAGTGAACTCTAACCCTACGTAGAGAGGGTGGAGGGTGGAGAGGGGGTGAGGGGTGGAGAGGGTAACCCAGAGGGTGGAGTGAGTCAACTTCAAAACGGACGCTGCCCTCTCCCACACACTTTCTAAGAACCTCCTACATTGCCCACGGTACGACGTGCTTCCCCGCTGTTTCGTGGGCGTTGGCGAAATGGAATGGCCTCGGCCCCCGAGGAGCACTGGATCAACTGGCACGAACGTGTCCACCCACGAGTGTTCGGACAGGATCGCCTGCTGCACGTGTCCGGATAGCGCCGACCTTTTAAATTCGAGCCTAGACTGATGATGTCGCCAACCAGCCAGCTTACCTTCTTGCCGCTTACCAGCCGCGCTTAGCGGCGGGGGCTGGCGCTTCCTCCCTGCGGTGGCTTAGTGCAACAGTTCTTTCGAACTGAACACGATCAAATAGCCAAGGTTTTTGTTGACATATATCAGTAGCGGAACCAATGAGGCTGCCTGGTCACCATCTGTTGAAAAACAAGGCCGGCAGGTGTCGCTGTCGGTGGATATCGAGCCCACATCTATTCTCATGATTAACCTTTGTTGCAAGTTGAAAGTACGGGGCCGTAAAGTACAATATATGGCTTTGCTGTGGCTGGGTAATTGCGTTTGGTCTCCTAATGATTTGTAATCGTCGCCATGTTAATCAGATCATACGGATGTCTGTTAGACTGAACCACTTTCTTAAGTGTCTATACAGTAAGCTCACCGCTGTCATGCAATGCCGGTCCTTTATGCTGTCAGAGCTGCGGTACGGCCGGGATTTCCGCCCTTACGACCTGCTAGGTGCTGAGTACAACTACTCGGTGCAAGTGGTCTTCGAGGACGTCTCTCTTCACCCCGCCTTCGGGACAAAGGCCGTAAGTGCGTCCGCGTGGGGTCAGCTGCACACGGAGGCATGCCAGGCATATACTAGGGGAAAAACGACCGAGTGGATGGCACCTTCGGATCCCACGTGGGGCCCGGGTTCAAATTCCAATTGCGCCACGTCCCTCGAGCGCTGGTGTGGTCACTGCAGTCGCTCTCGTTCCACAACAAGAATTCACGGCGGCATGCGCCACGTGCCGCTAAAGAATTGAGTGTAGACTTGGGTGAGATTGCGAAATAGCGTGACAGCGTCCGAGCTCATGTCTAAAGGCTCAGAATCCGGGCCAAATAAATGTTTCATGCCTACACCCCCCCCCCCCCCGAGAAGCTCCATGTCTACACAATCTGCTAGACCAGGCCATGGGAGCGATCATGCAGACAAGAGCTTGTGATGCGGGTATACGTGTGATGCCATGTGATGACGTCGGCTCTGAACATTGGCGCACCCAAGGCTTGCCAGAACACATCGAAACAAACGAGACGTGGCGCTTTAGGTCCGTCTGGAGGCGGTATTCTGCAAAATCATACGCATTTTGCTATACTCAATGTCTAGTTGAGGATCTAGCATGCGAAGCCAAAGGAAAACAACCTAGGTTGATCTGTGCGGCGAAAACGACAACATTCCATTCAAGGCGAAGCGCTAGTAGAGTTCCGTCAAACAGTACTTCATCCGTTGTATTTCTGGTTCTTAGGGGTCCCCGCGAACATACATTTCGTCAGAAGGACGAGATACCGTCAACACCCAAGTAGAACGCTAGACCAAAAGACGTTTGGTTGTTTGCAGTACACGGGTGTTGTCCGCCCGGGCCCAGGAAGGCGGTGGCCCCCTGACCCTCGCCCCTGCCTCGCAGGTGAAGCTGACGGTGAACCTGCTGACCTCGTGTGCGCCGCCGGCGACGCCGCCCGCCGCCCCCAGCCAGGCCCCGCCGCCGGCGTCGGCCCTCTATGACGTCACACTGAGTCGGGCCGCGGCGCCGTTCGCGCGCGTCTTCCAACCGCCGCCGGCGCTGGGCCGCGCTCAGCTGCGACTGCTCGGCGCCTCCGCGGCCTTCGCCATGACGTCACCAGGGAACATCGTGTACCTGGCGGCGCCTGACCGCCTGCCAGCGGCGGCTCAAATCGACCTGACGCTGTCGGGTCCGCCGGCTGACGACGGAGCGTCGCCACCATCGTCATCAGGCGTCGGCGGGGCGGCGGGCGGCGACGTCAACACCACCGTCAGGGTGACGCTGACGTCGGACGACGAGGGCTGCCAGGGGGAGGCCCTGCCGGAGAAGGGCATGTGCGCGGCCGAGAGCGACGCCGAGGCGTGCGAGCGCCGCTGCGGGGAGGGCGCCGCCGGCGCCTGCCGCTGGCGGCCGCCGCGCGCCACCGACATGACGTCAAAGTACGGCACGTGCAGCCCCGACCTGGCCACGTGTCCTGACGGCGTGTGTGACCCGCTGGAGCAGCTGCACGGCGCACTCTGCCCGCAGGACTGCGCAGGTTAGATCGGGTCACGGCAGGCCACAGGTGGAGGGAGGGGGAAGGAGGGAGAGGGAGGTCTGCTTACACTGGCCAGCCGCTTTAACGCTGGCTCTGTGTGGTAGGCTTTTGAATTTCCTCATCGTTCAACAGCCGCGCTGTTCCAGGAAGCATTGTGAGTAACTCAAAGCTTCCTTACCTGCCGCAAAAACACTGTGAAAGGCTTGCTATTGACAGGAAATCTACAGTTAGTGGAAAATATTTATCAGACGTTTTCCCATACAGTGCTGATGCAACTGTCTGGTAAAATTCTGGCGCAAGTTCTAATGCAAGAATTGATTTGGTTGGGCGCAAATTGGCCCCGATGCCGACGCGCTCTGAAACACTAAACCAACACCAAGTATTGCTTTGGAACCTTTCACGTAGTTCACACCTAGCAGCAGCGGCTTTCTTGAAAGTAGCCGGGTCGATGCAGGATTCGAAGTCGGCTTTGCACCGGCATCCCTGCCACTCATCTCTCATTGTACTGATAGGCTCGTGCGATTCTTTGATTAGCCAATAGAAGAACTGTAAGGATCTCGGCAGATGGCTCAGGGTAGTTGACCTCGGCCTCTTCTTCGTCGGCAGCGTCGGCAGGAATGAACATGAGGCGTCGACTTATTGAGATCGCACACCATTGTAGCGCACATCACGCAGGCTGATCACATCCATTGGTGTGTTTCCGTCAGCTTATTTTTCTGCTAGCCGTCTTCTGTAACTGCTAAGACCATGACCGTTGCTACCCTGGGGGAGGCCGGCACCAGTGAAAGTTCCCCGCGGTAGGGATCGTACCATCGATTGCTTTGACGAGACCAGCGCCGTCGCCACCGGCGAGTGACGCGGCTGCGCGCTGCTCTGGCCGCCAGACCACCATTCAGAGGGCTTGTGCCTGAAGAAGACAGCCGCCGGCCGGGGCGTGGCTCAGGGCTGCGGCGTCTGCTTCTGTCTGCACCCGCGCTCGTGCGTCTGCACACCGGAGCAGCACCGGCCACGGCCGCCAGCCGACGCCAGCCGACCTGGAGCCGGAGCCGGAGCCGGAGCCGGAGCCGGAGCCGGAGCCGGAGCCGAGGCCGGAGCCGAGGCCGGCCGGCCGGCCCAGCCCGTCACCCCCCGCACGCAGCGTTAGTGGCGAGCTGGGTTTCGGGAGCGGGTGGGGAGGTGATGTCAGCGTTAGAGGCGGGCTGGGGCTCGGGAGCGGGTGGGGAGGTGATGTCAGCATTAGAGGCGGGCTGGGGCTCGGGAGCGGAGTGAACTGTGACTACCATGTAGCGTAGACAATTTTTGTAAGTGGCACGTTGGACACCGCGAAGAAATCATCATGGTACAAACATATCCAGCTGCAAAAAGATACTGGGGAAGATCAGGAGCAGACATTCGATAAGCTTCCAGGTCCGTGCAAAGAGCAAGTACGGTACGAAATGAATCGAAAGAGAAACACAATAATCTGAAAGCATTGCTTGTGCGGCACTTTTCACCACTTCTTGGTGCTTTGTGTCCCTGACTGAGAGCGCCCATACAAGCATTGTTTCGACGCTCACATGCGCATGCGCAACGCTCTGCCCACAACACGCAACAACACGACACAAAGACATAGCTGCTCACCTGAGCTATGCTGCGCTGTTTGGCCGCCGCTCGGAGGCCGCGACCTGTGTGACCTGTATGACCTGTGTGACCTATGTGTGTGTGTTCTGGCCGTGCGCCGCAGCGGCGGCGGTGGCCCAGTCGGCGCCGTGCGGCACAGCCTGCATCACAGGCGTCACACTGGGCGTGCTGCTGCTCGTGACACTGCTCTTCCTCGGCGGCGTCGCCTTCGACAACTGGTACGTGGCCGGGGAGCTGACGCTGAGGAACGTGGGTAACCCACGGGCGGCGGCAGCGGCGGCGAAGGCTCGAAACTGCCTTTCCGTTAACTGGGGCTGCTTCACTGGGGTGATGACATCAGGGTCTTCGCTGATTAGAAATGTCTTGGGTCATTAAAAAATGTCTCAGCAAAACATTCGGGGATTTCTTAAAAGGTTTACAAGGCTCGAGGTGTATTGCCACTCACACAAGTCACAATGACAGGTGGTTACCGCCATATTTTGTCATTGCTAGGACCGGCCTCTCCCCGCCTTCTTGTGACCCACGACCCATGTTCGCACACCAGGCCGTAACCGGTCACGGAACAGTCAGCTGACTCTGCCACGAGCGCAGCCCAGCTGAGCCCGCTACCAACGCCAAGCACAGGATCCGGTGCCTTATGCGTGTCCCTGTCCTGCCCGCGCGCGGGCCTGGGTCCTCACCGGGTGACCTCCTCAGGCGAGGTCGAGCCGTCAAGTCCCGGAAGGACCCGTTCGCCGTGGATCACATAGCGCTGTCACACATAGCCGGGGGTGCGGACCTGGGGGCGAGGCGCCGAACGTCCCTGTCGGCCGCCCCACACTGCGCCCTGCCCTGCCAGCTGGCGGAGTCGGTGCCGGTGAGTGTGGCGAGAGAGTGGATGAGAGTGTGGCCACCACCTCCCCCGCTGCGCCCTGCCCTGCCAGCTGACGGAGTCGGTGCTGGGAAGTGTGTCGAGGGTGTGGGCAAGAGTGTGGTCGTGTTCAGTGACCTGCGAATGTATGCAAATGAACACTGGATGACGACACTGGGCGCATTTTGTTTCGGACTGGCGTAGGATCACTGGTTCGCCTCTCACGTGATTCTGCCATTCTCCGGTGTGGCAATGCACTGCGCCATTGCATGTGTCCGTGTAGTTAGATAAGCCTAAGGCATGACCCGTCCGGCACATTTGTTCTTGTACAACACTTACATCTGCTAAGTACATCTGAAGGAGCTGACAGTGGGGCCACCTGGTGTCCGGACATGGGCCCGTCCGGACTTGAAGAATGAGGCAATCTCATGACCTGTTGGCCCCTGAACTCAAGTAAATCGATTTATTGGAAGGCACAGGCTCAATCTCATACATTTGTAAGGCATGGGACCTGAACTTAACCCTGGTTTCATTCAAGTTTCAACTGCGGTGGAAGGGTGCACAGTAGAAGCGAAATATGCTTTCAAATACAAAGTTGATATGGAACATATCCACATACTATATAACATATGGTGGAGAAGAAATTGCTATGCGCGCTGCCCTGTACTGGATTGAGTTGGTCATGATCGCACCTGTCGGTGTCGGTTAGGTTCGGTTAGGGACTGAGTTAAGGAGAGGCCCAAGGTACCCACGCTCCCTCCGTGCCAAGCAATTTACACTTTGTAGCGGGCGATTTCACATGAATTCGGCCCAAACTCGCGGCGTTTCGGAGACAAAGTGACCTTTGAACCGACCCCGAGGAACGATGTTGGGCTAATGGCTGAATTCAGCTGGGTCCGGTTAGGCTGCATGAACTTGCAGCTGGGTTATGCAAGGCTAAGCGTCACTTGCCGAAGCTCTGTATGACTCGCAGGTGGGTGCAATTAAACATCTGGGTTGGGTTGCGCCGGCTCAGGTGTAGACTTACAACATTTACGGCTTTTTTACTCTAACAGTTATTTAAATGTATGCCGTCGACGACCTGCTCATGGCAATGTAATGTGAAGCATCGCTGGCATTCCCCAAATAGTTAATGGTCTCGGACTGAATATTTGAAACCCCGGACACATACGCTAACTCTAGCTCGTGCCCAGCGCCCAGAGGCTTGGACTCTTTAATATTACATGGATGGACTCGCGACTCAGATCAGTCTTATCACGACACCAGGAATGGGGCACGGGCTTGGTCTCAGGGTCTTTGACCGAAGCCCGTGTCTTTAAGAGTCATCCACTTGGGGTTTGGTATTCCTAGTGGCTAGACTCTTGGATTTTCCGCCATGACGTAGCGAAAAACTGGAGAAGAGAGCACGATCTGTAAAGCGCGGCTTTGGTTAAGCAGGGTTGCCGATGTTTGCTCTGTAATAGTACGAGATAAACCCTGCAGAAGCATTGGCCAGTGACATAACTTACTATTTCGGAAGAGCAGGGTGAATAGTCTTACATGCTGGAGATAATGTTAGGCACTATGAGTTCAAAGTTCTCATGTCGAGTTACCTTCGTTATGCTAGCAGGTATTGGAGCGCTACATAGCGATTATATTATTACTAAGCATTTCAACGTCGTCCAACCAGTACCTTCTGCTATGCTGAAGGCGTTTCAACATAAGAGCTTGGAACTCAGCATGCCGAGCAAGGAGAAGCTGAGGGCCATTCGTTTTTTATCGAGGATGGGAAGCCCATGAAAGTGTCTCTTCATTTTTGCGCATGTAGGATGCTATGGCTCATGTTGTTTCCTAAGCGCGGCGGTGACAGTCTCTGAATCAGGCTACCCCCGATCTCTCTCTCTCTCTCTCTCTCTCTCTCTCTCTCTCTCTCTCTCTCTATCTATCTCTCTCTCTATATCTCTCCTCTCTCTCTCTCTCTCTCTCTCTCTCTCTCTCTCTCTCTCTCTCTCTCTCTCTCTCTCTCTCTCTCTCTCTCTCTCTCTCTCTCACTCTCCCCATCTGTCTCTCTCTCTCATTCCCGCTATATAATCTCCACACATATTGGTGTTTATCTATAAAGATTCTCTCTCATTCTCTCTCGTGTTAGAGGCTATTACACTAATGAACGATGCATGCACAGTTTCATCATTATCCAAACATATATTTCGCGATAGAATCTCGGCATACATTTGCACATATCTATGAAAATGTTCTCCGCGGCTGGAAGCCATTACATTGATTAATAGTGCATGCACAATCACGTCGTCTCGACCCATTATCATGCGTTCCTGCCTCGGTTCTGTCGGCGGGCATTCTCTAGGCTGACGGACTAGAGAAAGCACTAAGCAAACAAGCGACGTGTTGAGGTATGCATGGCGGATCAAAGGAATTCCTTCCATCAGTGCCATCAAACCTCAGATAATACAACTGACAGAGGCCGACTCAGGACGCCGAACTCGGTAAAATCGGCAGCACCGGCTGATTGTTGTGATGCATTCTGTCCTTGCTGTATTATATGTGGGGTAATGGTAGTTTCCCCAAGTTTAACGGGCGAGGCGACACAGTTTTGTTATTGTTTCTTTCCAGTCAACGCATGTTGCGACAATGTTAGATGTCCGGAAAGTCCGGGGTCTGTGTCTCCCCCTTCCCTCGGCCTACTAGTTGCTGTACCTCTGGTTACTTACTGCATGACAGCCGGCTTGAATCATTGCATGGTGCTTGTTTAATAAAACAACATTGCTTCTGAAATTTCTGAACATGTTCAGCCCTACGATGTTTAAGCTTCGATGCTTTGGAAAATACGTGTTGTCAGAAACACGCACCAGAGTATAGTAATCATCTTCAAGAAATGCCATCAGAATCATTGGATATGGCATTTGGAAGTACACTGCCAGAAATAAGTGACATATGTTCCGGATATCTTATCTCCAACTTTGTCTCACTGCTCACGTTGCGATTGGAAATAGTGTTGGCTGCTGAGCCGCGTGAAGGCGAAATTAACCACCACATATTCTTCGTGGCCAACTGCGCATGAATTGTTAATAAAATTCGACAGAACGGGATTTCTAAAGAACACCTGCACGAATCCAGGTGTCCGTTGGAACAACACTGGAGTATATTGGAATGGAAAGCTACCAAAATAGCACACCTTTGAAGTAAGCTGCGAGAAAGCACCTTAATTCTTCCATCAATCTTTCGCGTCCCTCAGGGGCTCAGGAAATACCACTGCGCGACGTTTGACCCGCCTTAGCCGCCCGTGCGGTGTCGACCAATCGAAGCGGACCTGCAGGTCACGTGACCGGGCGGCTAAGAAACTCCTCCGGGAACGGAACGCCGACATCCGGTTCGACACCCGCCACAAAGCCCCGGGCGGGCGTTCTGCTCCGTGGAGCAGCAATGCAGAGCTAACGGGTCCGTCCGAGCATGCCGGATTATTACGCACTCAACGTTATTACAGTACCTGACGCTCGCATGGCTGCATCGACCTCAGGGAATCAGCCTCTCACTCTAAGCAGCACAGGCAAAGACGAGTGTTTGTTAAGCATGTCACTGCGTCGCACACCGCGCGGGGAATAGCTGAAGAAGCCCGCCGGCTCTTCGTTTGGCGCCGCTGGTCGGAGGTAGCGACCGTTTTGGGCCCGAGGCGACCGCGCCGATTCGCAGGTGGACCAAAGGTCACGAGGTCGGTGTTGCGATGCTGGCGTCCTGCCAGCGACCTTGATTGCCTCCTGCTGTCTATCGATTCAGCAGTGCGGCCTAAGACCGCCGCCGCAGTGGGCCTGGTCGAGGCGTCTGCGACAGCCACTTTGCCGTCATTCGACCTGGCTGGGAGAGGGAGGGGAAGGGGAGGGACGCTGCTCATGGCGACCGCCTCGCCGCCAGCGGGGAGCTTCTGAAGAGAAACGAACTGCCTCCTTGTCAGCCCTCATCGTATCCGCACCTGAGCTTTAAGTGGGTCGGTGTTGTTGAAAACTCGATGGAACACGCACGTCATTCCGCCAACAGTACGATAGATATCGCGAACGTCAAAAGGAAATGAATACGTCTTCCTCAGTGATCGATCGAGCACGATCGTCAAAAAGAAATAAATACGTCTTCCTGAGTGACTGAATGGGGAAACACCGTAGTTCACAAAAGCTCGCGCTTTTTTAGCAGTTTCGATTGCCGAGACTAGTCCCAGGTCTGACGTCACACACGGGCAACAGCTGCACACCCGCTGGGAACGGAACAGAGGGGCCGGACGAGCGGCGCAAATCGCCGGGAACGCGCTCACCGGGGCGGGCTGTCGTCCGCACCGCTGGCGAAACCGAGGCGACCGAGTTCTTTTTTAACTATGCGCCATTGATCCGAGCGAGCTGTTTGTCGCCAGGTTGGCTGAGCCTGTGGCGCCTGTTTGCCATGACATGTTTGGCTAATGCGATGAAGTGGTAACAGTGTCAACAGTCGGCGATGGCGCTAGTTAAGCCGGCGCGCCGAAATATGCCGCGATGGTCGTTAAGGGCATGTTGACATCCAGCAAAGTGTTCTGCACCACCGCAGTATGCAGGAGGCCAAACACCAAGTCGCCTTGGACTGTTGCGGCGACTTTTGCACCGCTCTGACTCCAGACTTTTGGGGTCAGGGTAAAGCATGGCTTCTGAAGCATTTGTATATGAGGCGATGCAGCACTCCAGACTTCTGGAGTCAGAGTCTGACTGCAGACTTGGAGACTTCCAATCCTCTTGCTTGTGACTTAACAAAAGCATGTAAACTTGTGCAGTCTATGACGGACCGCTTACGGGATCGTCACCCATACAAATATGACGTCACAGAAGCTTCGCACGGCCGCCCCGCCTCATGGTTTTTCGTGCTCATGGTCGAGGAAAGCATAGCTTCTGAAGCCTTTGTGTGTGAGGCAATGGAGCATCAAGTTACCCAAAGATAAAAGGCATTCTGCGAATAGTTAGATTTCGCCGCAGATTGCACGTCTTTAACGCGAAGTGCGCTTCGCCGTAACCAGCACAGGCTACGGTGCGATTATCTAGATATGACTTACATGAGGCAGAAAATCGAAATAAAAGCAGCTTAAGAATAGCACCGTAGCCAACAATGTCAATGCAAGTAAGCAACACTTTTACATCTGATTAAAGTAAGTTCCATAGTAACTAAGAGCTGCAAGTGGGATTTTCCGTTACATTTGTTGTTTGCCCAACATCTTTATTTGTGGAACAGTCCCATCGAAGAAGATCACGCCTGTCAAAACGTTCCCGTTTTATTTGTTTCTACGGCTAACGAGCAATGCAATGACATAATATGTATAATATATAATGGAAATAACAGAGCCATGCTGATACTCAACGGCAAACCAGAGGGAGGCTGAGGAGGCAGGGGACATGTCACGAACCAGGAGCGGATTTAGGATTTCGTCATGGGCTCCACTCCACGCAACATTGTGAGGCCCCACAGCTTGGACTCTAAAAATCTTATTCCTGCAGTTAAATTTTAAGATAGATGGAACCTAATACATGTACACACACACACACACACACACACACACACACACACACACACACACACACACACACACACACACACACACACACACACACACACACACACACACACACACACACACACACACACACACACACACACACACACACACACACACACACACACACACACACACACACACACACACACACACACACACTATATAATGCAATAAATAACAAATACGGGAACCCATATTACTGTGCGCAGCCATAGAAAGCTAGGCGAGTTAGGTAAGCACATACATGGAACTTATTAATTTCCTCCAGATCATGGTAGATCGTGTCATTTTAGTCTAAGTTTTTTTCGGAAAACAGGCTGAATTAACTAAAGTTCCATGCTAAATATCATGAAAATAAACTCGAACATGGCTCTTACCTTATTTATGGTTAGTCGTCTGGTTGATGCGATCAGCTGACGGGAAGAATCCGTGGAAGGCTCCTGATTGACAAGAGCGCCCCGGTACGGTAGCAGGAAGGGCCCGGCCGACAGCCCGGGGCACTCCGGGCAAATGCTAGGAAAGTGAGTGCAGAGTGGAAGGCTCCTTAGCGATCGGATTGAGCCTACAAGTCGGCGTGTAGGTCCTCCGGAAACGGCAAAAGGCCTCTGAACAGCGTAATAAGCCCTATGATATCCCAATCACTACCCTGGCAATCAGTGAAGAATATTTTTTGTCTACTCGTGGGGCCTTTACTTTCGCCTGCAACTGTTCTTGGACGCCTGAAAGCCCCCAAAATATCAGATTCTGTTGCGCTTTGTTCGGCCGATGCATATATATATATATATATATATATATATATATATATATATATATATATGCGTATATATGTATATATACATATAGTACAAATACAGTATATAGTATGTACAGTACAATGAATAGCACAAACCAAATCGACTGTGGTACCGACCGTGCAGTGACTAAGCTGCGCGCCTCGGAAAGAAGAGATACGAGGTTTGATTCCCACGTACCAGTCCTTACTACCAGAGTGGGAGGCACCAAATGGCGACAGCAACGAGCATGGCGGTCGTTGTGACTGTTTTCAGACACTCATACTGCAGTTTAGTAATAACATGTCCCGTTCACGGCGCCCATGCGAGCACGGACGCTGAGTCCGCCCTTCCCACCCAGGTCACCGCGGTCAGGCGACTGGGCAGATGAAGGCCTGTGTCCAATTTACTTCAGAACGCCGCCATTTCCGACCGCCCCAGTGACCTGTGACGCCCAAGGCATGCCAGTCGTAAGCCAATATCGTGAGCCAATGTTGGGTCTTCCGGCGACATTCTCGGGCGGTAGAAAAATAAGATAGTCGCAAATTGGCCATCGGTATCGCGGCATCAGAACACCAAAATCTACCACGCTCAAACACGGACATTCCTGAGGTTACTAGCAGGCAGCCGCCGCTCTCACGTCCCCTGAAGACGTGATGCCGACATGGCTGACGCCACTAACACGAGCTCCGCTCCTCTCAGGTCACTACCGCGTCTCCGGCCATCACCCCTGATGACGTAATATCGACTGGTGTTTCAGGTCGATTGCAAATGGGAGTTCCCTCGGCAGCGGCTCGTCCTGGGAGATCTGCTGGGAGAGGGCGAGTTCGGCAAGGTGCTCAAGGGCCGCGCGATGGGAATCGCCGGTGATACAGGTAATTACTCTCCTTTCAATTTATTTCTAGTTTCAGTTTATCTTTCAATGAAAATCAGCATTAGTGATACGGAGTTAATTTCTAAAATTTAAGGCTTATGTTTAATGGGATGTAAAATATTATTATAGTAAACGAAAAGTAATAGTGCAGCTTTTCTCCTCTGAATCTCCCCTCTCTCTCTCTCTCCCTCCCACTCTCTCTCTCCCTCTTTCTCTCCCTCTCTCTTTATTTTGGCGTCCATTTGAACATTGTTTTCAATGGGCTGCATTACCTTCAGAATCAGTGTGAATCAGACCGACCTTGGGGATGTTGAAAGTGTTATGACAGGACATTTTCACGATAAGGAACCAAAGCAAGGAAAACAGCCAGCCGTCCGACCGGTTGTCCAAAATCAAATAACATCTGCTCGCACACAAGACTCAAGGCCCTACCGGAAATCATCTCTGAACACGTAAAAGGCGGAAACGACCATATTCATATAGACCACAGCAAACCTTGTCAGTTATTATCGCAATAAAACATATCCAATTGTCTTATGAGAAACAGGACTGACACAGCCGACAACCTTAAGTGCACCAATGTAGTGTGTCAATCTAAATGCGCCTCGAAGGCTGTTTAGTTGGTTCCATACACCACATCGGTGTACCAATGACACTCTCACACTGCACGTACGCGACGGTGCGCCGCTGGAGCGCATGCGACACGAAAGTGGCAAGACATTAGCACGACAACAGTTGGCCGACGACACTAACATCCTTTGGACATGCAATGCCAGGAGGCGCCTCAAAATTTGGGAAAGCATAGTTGTCAGCGAATTCCCCACGGCCTTAAAGAAACAAATTCGTGCACAGCTCTTGAGTTATTAGGCCTTTTGTGGTAGCCATCTTTGATGTGATTGCAATACAAGTCTTTGTAATGTTTTGTTTCCGTTCCTGATGCACTTTATGCACAGTAAACTATCCATCGTCATGTTTATCTTATCCGTTTTGAAATATGTTTTAGCAAATTTAGCAAAGAAAGGCAAAAAAACAAAACAAATGCCTTGTATGCTATCATCTTCACAGAAACAACACACACACACACACACACACACACACACACACACACACACACACACACACACACACACACACACACACACACACACACACACACACACACACACACACACACACACACACACACACACACACACACACACACACACACACACACACACACACACACACACACACACACACACACACACACACACACACACACACACACACACACACACACACACACACACACACACACACACACACACACACACACACACATATATATATATATATATATATATATATATATATATATATATATATATTCAGACGACCACCACACACACGCATATACATGCACGTCTGTAAAGACGCCAATGGAGGAGGAGGCTCTGATTGCACGTGACCCCGTTCTACATCAGTGACGTGGCTTCCCGTGACACCATGACCAAACGCGCGGCCCGTCCTAGCGGTGGGGTACGGAGAGGGGCCCGGAGCTGGAGAGCAGGGGCGGGGCACCTGGCGCTGGGAGCAGGGAAAGGGGCGCCCGGCACTGAGAGCAACGGAGGGGAAAGCCTGCTGTATTGCGTGCCGACTCCGGCGAGTGACCTCGCTGTGTTTCCTATGACCCGGCTAGGGTGAGTGACCTCGCTGTGTTTCCTATGACCCGGCTTCGGTGAGTGACCTCGCTGTGGTTCCTATGACCCGGCTCCGGTGAGTGACCTCGCTGTGTTCCCTATGACCCGGCTCCGGTGAGTGACCTCGCTGGGTCGCGTGCCGGCTCCAGTGAGTGACCTCGCTGTGTTTCCTATGACCCGGCTCCGGTGAGTGACCTCGCTGTGTTTCCTATGACCCAGCTCCGGTGAGTGACCTCGCTGTGTTTCCTATGACCCGGCTCCGGTGAGTGACCTCGCTGTGTTTCCTATGAGCCGGCTCCGGTGAGTGACCTCGCTGTGTTTCCTATGACCCGGTTCCGGTGAGTGACCTCGCTGTGTTTCCTATGACCCGACTCCGGTGAATGACCTCGCTGTGTTTCCTATGACCCGGCTCCGGTGAGTGACCTCGCCGTGTCCCGCTATGACCCGGCTCCAGTGAGTGATCTCGCTGCGTCACGCACCGGCTCCAGTGAGTGACCTCGCTGTGTTTCCTATGACCCGGCTCCGGCGAGTGACCTCGCTGTGTTTCCTATGACCCGGCTCCGGTGAGTGACCTCGCTGTGTTTCCTATGACCCGGCTCCGGTGAGTGACCTCGCTGTGTTCCCTATGAGCCGGCTCCGGTGAGTGACCTCGCTGTGTTCCTTATGACCCGGCTCCGGTGAATGACCTCGCCGTGTTCCTTATGATCCGGCTCCGGTGAGTGACCTCGCTGTGTTCCCTACGACCCGGCTCCGGTGAGTGACCTCGCTGTGTCTCCTATGACCCGGCTCCGGTGAGTGACCTCGCTGTGTCGCGTGCAGGCTCCGATCAAAGGCATCCTGTCATGATCGGCGACGGTGACGGGGTAGGCAACTGATGACGCTAGGTCTTTGTTTGCGCCCATTGATGTTGATTGATGGCAGTCTGTTGATGGCGCGGGCGCTCCGTCGTCGTCACGCTCGAGTCTCCTGTTCAGTGTTCTGTCGCAGAACTGTGAGGGCCGGCGCCGGAAATTCGGCAGTTTGTTTGGTTGAACCTAGCTGGCTCTCCCCCGGGGGCGGGAGGGGGGGGGGAGGGGGCAAGCGTGGAAAGGTGGGAAGTGAGAAGCAGGGCTGTGTAGCGCAGCCATCCCAGAAAAAAATAATCACCCGATAAAAAGAAACACACGTAGCACAAACACTATATCAACCCAGAAAGCGCAGCCACGAACTACGTATATAATGTCGCCACATCTTTGGCAAGTTTTGCATTTGCTTCCCTGTGTATTCACCGTTCAGCTGAACAAGAGCCATCGGCAGCAGGGGAGGAGGGGGGGGGGGGGGCGTGGGAGGGGGGGGGGGGGGGGTGCTAGTGAATAGTGAAAGCATCTATGTGACAGCCAACTGAGCTGGCGCCTTCTCTGGCCACATGATACACTCGTGACCTTTTCGGCGAGAGCTTGTATGGCCGCCCAACACCTGCTGGGTTGTGTTCCATCCCTGCGGGCGTCGGCCCATTGTAGGCATGCGGCCTTCACGTGTGCGTGCGCATATTGCTGATGTTAGATAGGGGATAGTCCATAATCATGTCGGAAGGGATAACTAAGAACATTTTCAATCTCGCGTTTGTTTTAAGCATTGTCAAAACCATAGGCATCTTCAAATGCTAAAGCTAAGAGCTACGCGTAAACACATATCCCATTATCTTTGCTACCAAATGCCACACTCGTGTTTCTAAAACGCATTAAAACGCCCCTTGGCCCTCTGGCATGAATGCTGACCCAGCCTCAAGCCTGAATTAGGTTGTGGCAGGTCGAAGCCTTCCATCCAACTCTAATCACCTGGAGCTCATTCATCGACACCACACCCGGACGTGTTGGCTCTGTTGCTGATAGCGCTGATGAAGCCTGCGGACAGCTGTCATTGCGTTCATGTCGTGTAGAAAGGCCAATGACCAGAGAGGTCGATGACCGGGAAGGTCGATGACCTCGCACGGCATTCACAGCACCGTTCACGATCGTAATTCGTTGTAAATTTATGCTTTTGAGGTATATTAGGACTATACGCTATTCTAGTGACTCAAGTCCTTCCGCTGCCATCAGAGCAGTGAAAAGTACAACTAGGCTATACGGGCACGTTGTTGCAGCTTCGAAAAGAATAGAGAATGGCATGACCCGGGACACCCCCGACTGATCCGCGCCCGACCCGGGACATCACCGGCTGACCCGCGTCTGACCTGGAACCTCCCAGCTGACCGGCGTCTGACCTAGGACATTACCGGCTGACCCGTGTCTGACCCGGGACATCACTGGCTGACCCGCGTCTGACCCAGGATATCACCGACTGACCCGCGTCTGACCCAGGATATCACCGGCTGACCCCCGTCTTACCCGAGACCTCACCGGCTGATCGGCGTCTGGCCCGGGATATCACCGGCTGAACCCCGTCTTACCCGAGACCTCACCGGGTGACCGGCGTCTGACCCGGGACATCACCGGCTGACCCCCGTCTTACCCGAGACCTCACCGGGTGACCGGCGTCTGGCCCGGGACATCACCAGCTGACCCGCGTCTAGCCCGGGACATCACCAGCTGACCCGCGGCTGACCCGGGACATCACCAGCTGACCCGCGGCTGACCCGCGTCCCGCGGGACCGCGGAAGACAGCGTTTCGGCGCCAAACCGACAGCTCAGATTCTCTGACGACTGAGACTAAATCCTATGATGGCTGAGAATGCTGAGAGCACCCGTTACCTGAGACTGGTAGGCACTGAAAACGCAGACTTGGAACCTACAGCTGCTGAGACCAAGGCTTCTGCTGAGACTGAGCTGCTGAGACCAATACTGTATCTCCGACCACTGAGACTGGGCGTCTGATAGATTGAGACTGAGCGCCCGGGAGACTGAGACTGAGAGTCTGGGAGACTGAGACTCAGCGCCCGAGAGACCGAGACTGAGGGCCTGGGAGACTGAAGCTGAACACCTGGAAGACTGAGACTGAGCGCCTAGAAGAATGAGACTTAGCGCCTGGGAGACGTAGAGTCTGGGGGACTGACACTGGGCACCTAGGAGACTGGGACTGAGCGCCTTGGAGAATAAGACAGGATGCTCCTGAAGAGCAATGCTGAAATGCTAGCCGTCTTAAACCGAGGCTTCCAACTATTAAGATAAGATCTTCATCGATAACCCCTGATGCGATGCATACGACCATCTGCCTATATCAGGTGCAGTGTATCGATACCGATCCAACAGTTCAAGTACCTGGTGACTGAGGCTGAGAAGCTTCAACAATGAGGACACTGTTAGTCCTGAAGTATGTGAATACTGTGATACTCTAACGTTTGATGATAACGAAAATAATGCCCACTTGGACGGCCAGTGCTGGCGACTGATGAAATTGAGAGTCCCGACGACTGAAACCGAAAGCCTACGTCGACTGCGACTGAGACGCCTGACGCGTCGCAGGCTACAGTCCGGTGGCGGTGAAGATGCTGAAGCCGTCCAGTACGCCGTCAGAGCTGCAGGACCTGCTGTCCGAGTACAACTTGTTGAAGGAGGTGAACCACCCTAACGTGATCCGGCTGCTGGGGGCCTGCACCGGCGCGGATGGGCCCGTCTGCATCATCATGGAGTACGCCGAGCTGGGCTGCCTCAGGTGAGACAAGCTCAGACAGATAGTCTCAGGCTCTCAGCCTCAGTATGAGACAGGCTCGGACAGACAGTCCGAGACCCTCAGCCTCAGCATCTGGCTCAGGTGCGACAGCTGCGGCTCAGGTGCGACAGCTGTGGCTCAGGTGCGACAGCTGTGGCTCAGGTGCGACAGCTGTGGCTCAGGTGCGACAGCTGTGGCTCAGGTGCGACAGCTGTGGCTCAGGTGCGACAGCTGTGGCTCAGGTCAGACAGCTGTGGCTCAGGTGCGACAGCTGTGGCTCAGGTGAGACAGCTGTGGCTCAGGTGCGACAGCTGCGGCTCAGGTGAGACAGCTGTGGCTCGGCTCAGGTGCGACAGCTGTCGCTCAGGTGCGACAGCTGTGGCTCAGGTACAGCTGCGGCAGCTGAGGCAGTGTCGTGTGCCGGGGTGCAGGCACTGTCGTAGGTTGTGCAGAGCTGCAGGTGCGGCAGTTTTTGAGGAGCACTGCACGGCGATCCACGACCTGAGGTTTTGCACACAAAGTATTCCAAGAAGTGGTGTCGCCCATGGTAGTGATTGTCGTAGTGGTGTAGTGGTGTGCTGTTGCAGTGGTAGTGATTTGTCGTGTGATATTACTGTCGCTCATTAACCTCGTGTAGGTCAACAAGTCAAAACTTTAGGTGAAACAATGCAACGGTAGTTCGTCCTATATAAATTAAAAAAGGTATTTTATGTATTCATCGGTTGCGCTCAGATGAGGTTCAAGGGAAGGCGCGTACATAACAACTATGAGCCAACTCAGATAAGCCCGCTATCCGATGACAGCTGCGTGATTGACATTTATATTTGACTGCGCGAGGAGGGGCTTTTAGACTCATTGCCGCAATTTCTACCGATGTGATGGCGCATACACACGCAAACACCATTACAAAATTCAATTACGATATTTATTGCGGCACAATACGGTGTGGCAGTTGGGGACGGGAGCTGACACGGGGCGTGCCGTCCTGTGCTGACATCGTTCCACTTTCAGGACGTACCTGTACAAAAGCCGGAAGTCGACACTGGCGTCCGGCTCCGGCGACAGCCAGAGCTCCATCACGCCCAAAGAACTCATCAGCTACGCGTGGCAAATAGCCAAGGGAATGGCCTATCTTGGCGGCATAAAGGTTCGTCTGTCCCCTGCATGCCGAAGGACGTCGTTACTTGTCAGTAAACACTCCGTTTGATCCTAAACAAGGGCAGGAGCCGAAGTCGCTAGAAAGTGTACGGGTGACGCTGTTGATGGGCATATGGATGGTGTGGTCTCTAGTTCCGAATAATCCTGAGATGTTGGTTGTTACCTCTCCGTGTCAGCACACTGAAATGCCAATGCGGAGATGTGCCCCGATTTCTAGTGCGCGTGCCGAAATTTTCTCAGTTTATGGCAATCGATGTCGTCGTGCTGCGCAGCCATTAGGCATCTATTTTCGATCTGGGCTAGAGTGGTTCAAAAACATGAATGCGATGAGGTATAACGAAGCAGGCCACCGGCCGGCTAACTTGGGTCTCTGCCCTTTCCGAGTTGGTCCACCTTTAGCTGACAGTTCAACCACATCTCCAGCTGGTGCACCGCGACCTGGCGGCACGCAACGTCCTGCTGGCGGCCGGCGGCGTCTGCAAGATCTCCGACTTTGGCCTGACGCGGGACGTGTACGAAGGCAGCCTGTACCAGAAGACCAGCAAGGGCAGAGGTCAGCGGGAGCCACTATCCACGGCGGAGGCTGGAGGGGGACGCCCCCGCAAGGGGCGCCACTATCCACGGCGGGGGCTGGAGGGGGACGCCCCGCAAGGGGGCGCCACTATCCACGGCGGGGGCTGGAGAGGGACGCCCCCGCAAGGGGCGCCACTATCCACGGCGGGGGCTGGAGAGGGACGCCCCCGCAAGGGGCGCCACTGTCCACGGCGGGGGCTGGAGAGGGACGCCCCCGCAAGGGGCGCCACTGTCCACGGCGGGGGCTGGAGAGGGACGCCCCCGCAAGGGGCGCCACTGTCCACGGCGGGGGCTGGAGAGGGACGCCCCCGCAAGGGGCGCCACTATCCACGGCGGGGGCTGGAGGGGGACGCCCCCGCAAGGGGCGCCACTGTCCACGGCGGGGGCTGGAGAGGGACGCCCCCGCAAGGGGCGCCACTATCCACGGCGGGGGCTGGAGAGGGACGCCCCCGCAAGGGGCGCCACTGTCCACGGCGGGGGCTGGAGAGGGACGCCCCCGCAAGGGGCGCCACTATCCACGGCGGGGGCTGGAGAGGGACGCCCCCGCAAGGGGCGGCCACTGTCCACGGCGGGGGCTGGAGAGGGACGCGTCCACGCATGTCCACAGCCGTGGAGCGAGTGCGCGCGGTGACAGGCGGGTTGACGTTAGGTAATGGGTTGGTTGGCGGTGGGTAATGAGTTGGCTGGCTGTGGTTGGCAGGCTGGTTGGTGTCGGATAGTGGGTTGGTTGGCGGTAGGTTATGAGTTGGTCAGTGGTGAGTTGCGTGTCGGTTAGCGATAGGTAATAAGTTAGTTGATGATGGATAACAGGTTGGTTTAGCACGCCCCTGAGACTGCTGGACCTGCTGTTCAAAGTGCCGGTCAAGTGGATGGCGATCGAGTCGCTCCAAGATCATGTCTACACATCCAAGTCCGACGTCTGGAGCTTCGGCATCCTGCTCTGGGAGTTAGTCACACTGGGTAAGGAGCTTCGGCGTCCTGTTCTGGGGGTTAGTCACACTGGGTAAGGAGCTTCAGCGTCCTGCTCTGGGAGTTAGTCACACTGAGTAAGGAGCTTCGGCGTCCTGCTCTGGGAGTTAGTCACAAAGGATAAGGAGCTTCGGTAACGTACTTTTTGATGATCATGATGAAGCTTTATTTGCCGTGAGATCTACTTCGTGGCTTTTCACTCACGCACGTCGTGGTAAATAAAACACGCAGGGAACATAATAACGGAAAATCCTGTCACTGCCACGGGAACCCACCCAAACATGCTATGAACTCATCAACAGTATATAGCCAGACACTGCAGCTTTGTTTTTTGTTTGTTTGTTTTAGTTTCGTCAACTATACCGGCAGTATTCCCTGTCTCACGTGGCGTCGGAAAGCTAACGCTCGAGGGTCAACACCAAGCCTATTTAACAACCTTACGCCTCGTAGCATAGTCGGCGCCGTCCCGCTCTTCTTCGGATTATCGGGGGGGGGGGGGGGGGGCGGCGTTCGGCACGTCTGTGGCGTGTTGGTGTCTCTGGTCTGCCCGCTGCCCGATCGTGCAACACGTGCCCTCTGGCTGCTCGGTCTTGATGATAGTTTAAACGACGCGCACAGTGTGGCAGTGTAAGAGGTGTTTGGCACACAACCATCCTAGTTGCTTCAGTGTCCGGTATGTTGTCGTTTCGCCTCCTGCCTGTTACCACCCGTGCACAAAATCCTCTTCAAAATCCTACAGCTCTCTGCCCTCGGTACTCCTGAGTGCCGCCGCAGGAGCCGTGTACAGACATGCGGTATCAGACCAACCACAGCACCACGGCTTGCACAATGCTTTTTAAGGTCACGTTCGGGTCATATGCCACGCGCGGGGCAACAATGCTTTCTGAAAACTTGATACAACTCTTTGATAGCTGGTCACGCCAGACAAGGCAAAAATGTCTACAGTTTGTGCCATAGCAGCTGATGTTATGCGTCTGCTGTTACTCATGTGGTGTTGCAGCGTATTGCACGACCAGAGGAAATACGACGCTTAAGGGAATGTTTCACATTTGAGAATATTGAAGCAAGCATCATATATGGTAAAACAAGCTCAGTTATAACTATTGGTATATCTTTTAAGTGGAGAAGACTGCTCTAAACGGCACAATTCTCTGTTTAGTAAGTCTGCTCCTCAACGCATGATGCTTTGATTACGTCACCGTTCCTTGTATAATATTGATTTAGAGCAAATTGACGGCCGCTTTATCTGGAAATCTTGCTCGCGAACTCCAGCTGTGAACGTCTCGACATTTACATTATTTTTAGCATTGATCGCCGCATGTATTATAGAATCGCAGGATTTGAATACAGTTGTCATGACGCCATGAATACCAAGGTGACTTTGAAATACTTTCCCTGATATACCTTTCTCCATTTTTGAGGGTGTGTAGCTCAGAAACTAGAGGGGATCATATCATAATAATAACGATCAACGACGATCGATCATAGCGATCATAAACATAAATCTCGAGAAAGGTAGCGTTGTAAACAGCACCGAGAGGTCTTCAGGGTGGCTTTTTCATTTCAAACTCCACATAAATGTGAAACACTCCCTTTCATATTTTGAGAAATTCTTATTTTCCTTGGGCAGGCCAAGAGCAATGCGACAAACCAGCCGATTTCTTATTGCTTCAAGGAAATCGGCAGATATATTTTTACGAGCTTCAGGCCAGCGTCATTGGCTTGTAGAGATCAGGGCTTTTAGGGGCAGTTTTATGTGATCTGCAACCGCCCGAAACGATAACATGGAGCAAGCCTCAGGCTGAATGACCAGAAACTAACCAAAAACCTGATATATTGACGGATTTATAACGGTATGTTTTAGACATTGGGAGAGACTGGTTGCTCAGTTCAGGGTTTGCCCAGCCAGTAAGGACAAGCATCTGTAGCCCTCGCAGCTCATCAGTCGAAGAGGCTGCACCTCGGGAATATAGCTCAGGGTGGGAGAGCTCGATGTAAAATGACACATTTCACAGGACAGACGTTCGATGTGGATGTAGAACGAGCAATGTAAGCCGACGACTGTAGCCGGCACGTTGAGTAAGCCAACGGAAGTTCATCGCCTCCACACTCCGCCATTGCAAGGGAGTATGTTTTCACTACACATTCACTTTCAATAGAGCCAAGACGTTAGCCCAGAGCAGCTTCGCCACAACGGAAGCTTTTTTGACGACCCCGTGTCCTGGAACCGCTCTACATTCAATTATTGTTGAATTGCATGCAAATTATATGCAGCAATGGCGCAGCAAGAGCGCCAGTTGCCTGGTTTGTGCTAGGTCAGGTTGCGATCGTCGCTCTGGAGGGCTTGGGCCCTGGAGAGAGTGCCCTGGAGTTTCCCCACGCTTGCTGAGGGTGCTAAGTATATCCAACCATTTATATGCTATCTTTTGTGTTTGGTTTGCCGCGGAGGGTTAGCATTTGAACATGCATTTTCTCCACAATCATTCGGACCATGTGGTGGGTCTCTCGTCAGGTGGTGGTTTGAAGCCTGTAGTAGACCAGTCTTGCCCCGGATTCAGAAAAAAAGCGAAGAAGATGTTCCGAAAGCCTGAAGATAAAACTGCATGTTTGAACATTGTACGGAAATCCGCAAAACATTCTCAGCATCACACCTTCCTTTTTAAAAGTGTAATTTAAAACGTCGCACGTGTCTGAACTGCTGCCAGTGCCCGTCTGCCATCCACTTAAGCTGCGTGCAAACTTTCCAGGAGCGAACCCGTACCCGGGCGTAGCCCCGGAGCGGCTGTGCCACCTGCTCAAGTCCGGGTACAGAATGGATCGGCCGGCCAACTGTACCCAGGATATGTAAGTGCCAGCTGACAGCGCCCGATGGCGGCGGACGACATCTGTTGACTGCGTGCAGCAGGCGCCCATCCACGGCCCTGACACGGCGATGAGGGGGCTGTCACGGACCAGACGGTGGAAGGCAATCATCGATGTGGCTAATGTCGAGCAACATGCGACAGCAGAGGCGCAGGCAGGGGCCGACCATGACGGGTCCCATTGGAGGGCCCCGAAAGGCAGGCTGGGGGCCTCATTATGCCGCCCGGACCTCAGGACCGGGGCCTCAGGTGTCAGTCAAGGTCTCCTGCGCCTTTCGGGGTCCCCCTGGGATCACGTGGGCCCTCAGTTGGCCAGAGACCACCTGCACCGCAAATCGGCTCCGTGCCGGTCGTTTAACCCTCACGGGAAATGTGACGTAAGGGCCCGTTTGCCATGAGGGTTGAACACCAGGGCCCGCGATTTACGTTGGTCAGGGGCTGTGTAACAATAATGGCCCCTATGTTGACCAGAGGCCCAGAGTGCCCAACAGTGTCTTGTGTTGGCAAAGGGTCCCGAGTCGGCCAGGGGCACACTTGCTGAACAGGAACAGGAACGGGACCCCGATTGTCAGGGACCTTCTCACGCTCGACAAGGTCATCTGGAAGAGTCGAAAATGAAACAGTGAACGGTTGTAGCGTTATTCAGGGTCCCCGGCACCGAAAGTGAGCCCTCCGCCCCACTTCAGCTGACTGCCCGATAAGCAGGACTGGAGACCCTGTGCTGATTATTAAACCGCCACACCGGTAAAGAAAGCTTTTGCGCCAGTGAGCGTTCATTCGTCGATCCGGGGCCCGATACCCCGGTCACAGGGCCTGCCGCATCATAGGGGGGACCGATGAATCTGTGTTCCTCTGAGGGCCTCCGGATCGAACAGAGGGCCTCGGCTCCGGGTCGCCGAAATGACAGCCGGGGGCACCGTGCACAGGGACGGAATGGATCCCTCAGCCCCTGGCCGCCAACGGTTATGTGTCCCCCCCCCCCCCCAGTATCATACCCGCAGGGTCCCTTCCAGGGAAGGACAAGCGGCCTCTTAAGTGCTTGATGGGGTGCATGACGCGGGACCAAAAACTTCTTGACTAAGCAAACACTTGTTTGCTTAGTTTATCCTTTTCGGAAACGATTGGTGAAGAAGCTACTTAGGATAGTTTTGAGCGTACGCGCTTCCAATCCTTAGAAGCAAGAACACCGATACCCGGCGTTGCAGATTGATCAGACTGAACACGACGCCGTTGCAGCTTTGCTTCAGCCGCTAAAGCTAACACCAAGCGGCTGGCGGCGGGCGGCGGGCGCACGAGAGCGACCACGTTCCGTGAAACAAGGTTTCCGAAAACCTTGCGGCATCAATTCGTACCGTTCAAAGAGCAGCCTGAGGCGAAATATCACCGATACAGTTTTGAGCGTATCTTCTGAACGGGTTAGTCGTCGCAGTAACACGAACAATTGAGATTCAACCCTTACATCAAGCGCGCGTGGCACTGTAAACGTTGATTCCTTCCCGCTGTCGATCCCAAAATTACGCGAGCGGCGACCCGGAACATCTTCTGCACGTGCGGAGTGATCTAATAAGGCGCTCGCAGGTGCTGCATTGTGATACAGGGTCATTTTCGCCCGTCAGTCGGCCGCCGCCGCATGTTAACCTCGGGGCCAACACCACGGCTCGTAGAAACTGTAGCGTCGGACACAGTGTTTCCGCTTCTAGAGTCGCGAACGCTCTCGTCACAAACCGTTTTTGTGTAATTTCTAACACAAACGAGATCTGAAAGAGGCTGAATAACTCCAGGCAAACATGGGTCGGCCATGCAAATGCTTGGACCCATTTCCGTGTGTCATCAAAGTTCAATCCCTCGCGCCCCACACGGTTCTTATCGCTGAACCGTTATAGAGTGAATAGCACCGGTGATTAATTCAACGCAGTCATTAGTACCCGGTCCTTTAACTTTATTGGCTTTTTAATGGAAAGGAAATTCCATGTCCTGATGATAGCACCGGGATTCTGTTCCAGCTGAAAGGTGGTAGCAAAGCTAAAATAAATTGAAACGAAAAGATTTCTTCGAAATCAAGGTAACCAAGGTCGGTGCCCTCTTGGTTTTGTACTGGAAGAGGAAGGGTTTTTGCTAGCAGAAGTCTTTCGTCACCCCGGTACACCCCTTCCCCTACCATGGTTCTGACTGCACTCCTGCGCGAGAGGACGGGGCTAGGACGAGGGTCCATTACACAGCAGAGCTGAGATTGAGGTGGAAGAGCCGTTGTCCTCTCCGTTGAGGACGACAGAGAGGACCCGCAGAGCTGTCGCTTTGCCGGCCCATACAGGGTCGAGAACATCTCGCATTCAAACACAGAAGCACGTGTTTGACCGGGCCCGCTTACGCCCTTCCCAGGCACAGCATCATGCGCCAGTGCTGGCAGGAGCAGCCCTCTTCCAGGTCCGTGGCACGTGTTTGATTGGGCCCGCTTCCACCCTCCTCAGGTACAGCATCATGCGCCAGTGCTGGCAGGAGCAGCCTTCCTCCCGGCCCACGTTCGCCGAGCTGACCATGTGGTTTGACAAGATGCTGCAGTCGGGCTCCGAGTATCTGGACCTCAGCACGCCGCTGGTGCTCAACAGAGAGTACTTCGACCTGCTGGGAGACGGAGGTCAGCCACGGGCGCGCCACCGTGGTGTTATGTGCAGCTACTGAGAGCTTTTGCAAACCGGGAAAGTTACTGGCACTTTATGACTTGCAAAACAACTGCATTGAACGTCACTGGACACAGACAATGTTTGCTCTAATGATGCTCCCGATGCACCATATCCGACTATCTCAGATTAGTTTTAATTTAGTTTAGATCAGTTCAGATCGGTTCAGACCAGTTCCAATCCCTGTCATACGTGACACTGATGTATACCCACGGGCACGAGTGCGTAAATTCTTGCTTTCTGCCCAGGCAGACCGGATGGGACTATCTTACTTTTGTCCAACTGCAAAAACTATGTAGTGCACTTGTAGCGCACAGTGCATACACAAAGTGGTTCTGTGAGCCGCACTGGCCGGGCTGTATGCCCAGCGAGCGCCACCTGTCGCACTGAAGGGTGCAGGTCCGAGTCGGGCCTGGTACCGGAGAGACGGAGATGTCTGCTGTGGCGAGGGACGCGATGTCAGAAGCGCTCGCGGACCTTGGGCGACGCTGTCTAATTCCTGTTGGTCTGGCGGGATAGGGCTGGTGTGTGGGATGTCCCCTTCCACAGAGCACCCCGTCCGCCACAGGCAAGGAAATGTTGGCCAGCGTGCTGCATGGTGTGGCGACGCAGGGGAAAGGGTGACTTCGAAGAAAAATGCTACATCCCGAAACTTTGTCCTTTCACTCTTGGATGACCGCGGATCACTGCCGTTTTCAGTGACCTATGAAGAAAAAGTTCGTGGTTTTCAACCTTTGTTTACCTTTCTTACCTTTCAACCCCTAACCTCACCCTAGTTCAGCGATCTCAATAACGCGGGCAGATATGGGGGTCGATGCGACCCCCTGCTATTTCCAAACTTAAACAGCTTGGGCCTGAGCTGGTCTCAACGAGATCCGGCGGTTGACGATCAGTTTTATGTTCCTAGGTCAATAGCATACCCCACTAGGCTTCGTCAAAGGTCAAATTTTCCTAAAATGATTTTTCTCAGCGTTACATGCTCACATGTACCAGACACCACACCACGAAACAAAACTTAACTAGGCGTGTTCGTTGTCCAATTCAGAGTACAATGACATATACCTGAATGCGTTTTGAGCACATATTTATGATGTGCGATCAGGGGCGTATCAAGGATTGCGCTAAGGCAAACGTCATGCTTCACCCTGGTACTCCTGGAACCTGATGTCGCTCCCTCTTCCCTCACGAAAAGTCCCCCGATTTGGACCGAGTCGTTTTCAGATTCTTCTTTTTTAATAGAAAGGCTCGCTTCCTCTGCACATCGTGGAAAGCTAGATATATTAGGTACATGTGTACATGACGCACTTTTTTCAGAGACCGATGGATCACTGTTCTGAGCTAAGAAATTCGGAGAATATGTGTCAAAAGGAGTTAGATTTGGCTCCTAAATAGCACCAGAGTGAGACGCTACAACACAAGTCGAATAACTGGCCATCGCTAACTTACGTGCGACGAAACTGGCAGGAAGTTGCATGTTGTATGCCGTTGAACTCACTCTGAATAGTTTAAAGTAAAAACAGTGACTTGTATGCGATTTTTGAATTTAACGACTCAAATAACGTCGCACGACGCGAATATTAAAATTTTAGTGACTATAACACAGCCGCAAGGCTAGTGAGATTCGTGGACGTTTGTCGCGAAATACCTTCTGGAAGTGAAATCCGCCGAAACGAACAGGTCGGCCCGTCGCCTGTGCTGGCCGTGGGTTCCTTAACAGTCATCACTGCTTAAAAGCCAGCAATGCTAGTGACACATCTATGGTGACAAAACACGCGCAATAGATGCCGTACAGGACAGCGAAACTTTGGGTGCGACTGCACCACATGACGGAGAGGTGTCCTCAATAAAACCTTCCGCGGGGAGTCTCATTTTCGTGCCCCTGTCAGGGCGAGGATTAAGTAGAAGTTTGTAGAAACACTTCGTCACGCGTAGATCTGTTCGTGTCCATCACAGCGTCGCTTCCTCCCCGGCAGACGAGCCAAGGACCGACATCCCTCTGGAGTATGGCAACCTTCACCCGCTAAACACCGCCTACCTGCGGCCCAGCGACCAATCATCCGTCGACGCCGCGCAGTCGGTCCAATCTGCGGTGTCGACCCACAACGCTGACCAATCGCCGGCCGGCGTCCCGGCTGGCAGCCAGTCAGCGGCCGCCGCTGGTCAGGTGGTGTACTCCTCACTACTGCACGGCTCCGATCCGGAGGAAGCGGAGGACGTGGAGCTTCAGGAGGACCAGACGGGGGGCGTGTCAGATGAACAATGCAGACTACTCGTCCCGGTGTGAACCGGCCACAGCCGCCTCGCCTTCACCTGCCTTCGTGAGATGTGAAGTGAACGCTTCCGCGACGCACGCGGCTGAGGCGCTATGGACGGCCGGCTGCGAACGCGGTGGAAGCACTGGGGTGGACAGCTTCTGTCACAGCGCCGTCGTCACAGCGCCGGCAGCTTCTGCGATGCCGCTGCGACTCGGCTCCGAACAACTGGTGTGACACCGCCGCACGCGGGGCGGTCGAAATGGGGAGCGGCGGAGCGAGGGGCGGGACAGCCGAACCCCCTTGTCGTTGGGGAATGTTATGTTGGGCCTACAGAGCTGTGTGGAAAGACGAGAGGCAAAAATTGCTTTCCCGTCACTTTTCCGAGTGTCTGCCGCCACTGGCGGCAAACAGAGCTTTATGCCCAGGTCAAAAGTTAGGATTTCCGATGGTTTTGGACGATTCTTTCCACACACCGCCTGAAAGCACAGTACCAATTCTACAGCGTAGAAAGAGCTTGACCTCTCCATACCCCTGCCCCCTGCGCGGTAGTCAATGGTGGCAAGGATGACCTCTGTGATACGACTGCATTCTTACTACAGGTAGTTTGGGCGACACTCCCGCGATGGTTTAGCGATCTCCTCTGCAACGCGACGGAGATCATGCTCACGCCGCTTAATACTTGTAATGCGTAAGATATCATGCGTAATCGCATAAATTCCTTGAGCTTTAGCTCAAAAACGCCAGAGCTAGTGGTGCAAACAAATTGGAATGGTTTAGTCCAAAGCGCGGGAATCTAACAGGAGAAGCTCTTCCGCAGTTCACCCTAGTTCTCGCTTTCGGCGCGTGGCGGCGCGCCGAAAGTGAAAACTGCCCCTGTCCGTCTTTTTTTTGGTCAGTTTGTGGACTTGGAAGACCTTCTCGGGTTCGAAATCAGGCCATGTTTCCTCAGAGGTACGTTTGATAACGCTTTGGAGGCCTTGCAAGCGCCTTAAGCTTCCAAAAATGCTGGGGTCTTCGCTCACCGGGCACCGCCAACTCAAGGGCAGAGGGGTGAGTACGTCTGGCCCCAAAGCCCCCTTTCCTTGGCTACGCCACTGGAGACGAGCACACTCAGGCCACCAATTTCGTTGCTTCCGATGTTAGCAGCAAGGCACGTGGAGAGGCTACACCCCACCGCGGCAAGCTTCTGCGGAGAGGCTACACTCAGCCGCGGCAAGACTCTGCCGAGAGGCTACATCCGGGCGCGGCTAGCCTCTGCGCGTCTCCCCGACGTCCATTTGCTGGGGCGGACATGCATCGCACCCGCACGGCCGCTGGGGCTGTGAACTGAGCTGGGGACACCGTGGGGGGGGGGGGGGGGGGACGACAGACGCCGGGCCAGCTCTGCCAAGGGGAGAAATCTCGGGACGGTGCAATGTTGCCACGCTCTGCTTTTCGGGCCAGGTGTTTGCTCGGGTGGTGTTTTGAATAGCGCCCTTTGCGGCTGGTTGTGAACATAACGCTTAATGATTAGGTAAGTTGTTAAGTGGCATTTGCGAAAAATATTATTCACATAGATAAGACAGTGATAACAGCCTTATTACTCGCGGAAAAAGAATAGGCCTATAGATGCGTTGATATCCTGGCAACATGCATTCATCGAAACAATAGCAAAAGAAATAGTACTTCTGCAATTGTTTCTAAAGGGGCATGTTGCAGAAATATCAACGCATCTATATCTCCACTTCCCTTGTTTTCCTCCAATGAATAAGGCTTTTACTACTGCTTTATCTACATAACGCTCGGTAGGGAAACCTAAGTTCACGGTCGGTGAACAACGAACAAACAGACGAACAAATACTGTTGCTTTGCTCTTAGCCTGAGAGCGCGAAGCCAATGTGGAGGGAACGTGTATGTGGTCACACGCGGGTGACGGAGACATGTGATGTGCCTTGTGTCGCCACTGGTTCGGAATGTGACGCCGAATGGTCACACCGCGCCGATACGGGGTAAGTGGAACGGAAATGAAAGGGATGGAATGTTAATGGAATGGACATGGAAGCGCGGATAGACGACCATTAAGTGCAAGATGTCATCCTGACGGCGTCCGCACGGGGGTCGTCGGACACAAACAATAGCGTCAGGCAATACAAGACGCTGCTAGGGAGCCAGACCGGTTCCGACTACGTCTGCAAATGCACGCCGTTGTTGTCCAATTTGTGCTGTTACAATGTGCGTGCAAGTCAAAATACACCTGTTGAAAGCTTGTCACGAGTTTTCGCTGATACTACTTCTCATCCAACTGGCGTGGGGCCGGCCATTATTTATGTTACGTATTTTCCGCCATTTTCAAACCCCTTCCTCACCCTGGGCATGCGCTGGTTTTGCCGGGCGACTCCCTCCTGGTTACGTTGTGTTAAGCCCGGAGTCCCAAACAGCAGCTTCCGCGCGACCCTCGTGTGTGTTGGAGATGGAAAACAAATAAAGAGCATGGCCCTTGCTATGAAAAAGAACCATCAGCGTCCGGTTTAACGTTTCATCTAAAGAAATGACATAATTTAAAATTACACCTGAGCACAACGTTAAGTTTTCGAAAAACCGTCCCTTCCTCCATTGTTGCGCTTCCGTTGCGCTCCATCAAAGCTCCCACCATTTCCCCATGCGTAACGTAATTTATAGACCGCACCTGTACTAGCCCCCGTCCTGATATGGGGGAGGGGAGGGGGTGCGACCCTGTCCTATGGTTTTCTGAGAATATCCCTCCGGGAAGCCGTGTGATCGTGCCCAAAGTTCGATGGTCTGTGAGCACTGATTATTCATGTTTTGATATAAAAAACATGTCCCTGGGTTTCTAGTTTCCGAGAAGCGAAGTTTTCTTTTGGGGGGGGGGGGGGGGGGGACTGCGCGGCGATCCACGACCGACGAGGGCGCCGGGCGGCAGCTGACGAAACCGCCGATCGCTCGCCGCTGGCCGATATTGTTAGGTTAACAGACACCCGCTCAATTTGTGCTAAAAAAACACAACTACATATCTACGTACTCAGAAATGATCCAGGAGCATGAATGCAAAGTGTTCATGTCGTTACGCATCATGGTTTCTTTTTCTTTTGATCTCATTTAGTAGGTTCACCATTTATTTCCCAGAAGTTCTATCGTTCTTAGCTCGGAAACGGCAGTGTGTGTGTGGGGGGGGGGGGGGGGGCAGGCACGTATCACCCCGGGCACGTGACGCTCGGATGGCAGGGCTCTCTACCGCGGGCGCATCGGCGAAGGGTCACCCCTTTATTGACGCTCCGGCGCACCTTGCTGGACCGCATCTAATGGGAGTTGCAGGACCCGGGCAGTCAGACAGCCTCGCCTCGTGGCTGGGAGCAGGCAGTCACGCCTGAGTCGTGGGAAAGTGAAGTGACATCGTCTTCCACACGTCCGTTTCTGTGGTGTGGCTTCCGAACCAGCAGGAGCTGCTGCAACATGGTGCAGCCGACAGCATCCATCGCCATGGATCCGAACGTCTTCGCCCGGACCGCCCCCCCCCCCCCCCCGCCTGCAGGATCAGGCCAGGGTCTCAGCACGACGGGAGGAGCGGCCGCTGGTGCTGATCGAATCAGGCGGTCGGGTCAGACAACCCAGCTCGACTGAATCCGGTGCTGGCAACACGGACTCCTCGGGGCTGCCTCTGGTCCAGCAGCCCCCAGCGGTACGGGACGGCTGGGTGCGACGCCGACACCCGCACCCAGGCGGATGAAGGGTGCCAGGCTGCGTTAGTTTATGTCATGACGGGACAAGGTCGAGGTCAAGGTCAAGGTACGCCATCCTGATCGGCTTTATGACCTCCGGTTGATGGGCCGAACCGCCGCACCCGTCACTCTGCTGGAGTGGGCTAGTGGACACGGACACTTCGACACAGTCTGGACGACGACGTAAATAACAATACATCATCACAATCACGACCAATATATAATCAATGTAGGCGATCGACCACAATCAATACATAAACGACTCTTAGCCTTTTCTAAGTGCAGTTGTAGATAGCGAGATCAAGCGCACGTACTACACAGGTCAGCCGTCTAGTATGCAGCGACAGCAGCGACATCTACACGCATCATCTGCCCGGCCGGCAGGTGACGCCAGTATCGCGACGGCGGCGCGTAATATTGTATTATTAAAATGTGAACAAAGTGCCACCACTGGTTTTTTAAAATCTGAAACCTCCACTTTCAGTATCACCTCCCACACACACATGAAGGAATGAAAACTGTAAAAACGGTACGGCAAAGCGTACCGTAATGTCAAAATGGAAGGCTGGAATGCCGCAGTGGACGACTCAGTTATTCAGCAAAGACCTTGGCAACGGCTGTTGCTTGGGCAATTGCATTGTCAGAAGTCGACCACGACAGTAAGGAAGGTCAAGATACGATGCTAAAGATCAAGATAGCAATGTCAAGCTCACGCACGACACAAGCCAGCCGTGTTATGATTCGGCGATGGCAGCGACATCTAGGTGTATCATCTGGTCGGTCGACAGGTGGCGGTAATGGCGTGACGACTGGCGCCATTATAATAACGTCCTTGTATTTGAGGCGTTGAGGATAAAAGCACATGCATAAAGGGGAGCTAGAATCGCTTTTGAACTAGAGTGGGAGTGAAAAATTCCATCGCAAAAAGACCGTGCGGGAGTGAAAAAATCAAGTCACAAAAGATGGAACTTATGAGCTTGTGACTGATGCTTCAGCAAACAAAGGCATCTATTCCAAGTTGGCATGGGCGTAATATCAGGAACCTGATAAAAATATTCCGTTTTTTAACATCTTAGGCCATTAAAGTGAAGCATAATACAATAACACGCGCTCGGGTGGGGGGGGGAGCAGGTTAACCCCCCCCCCCCGAGGGCTTTTCCCGAATGGTTTCTGAACGGCGCGGCGTAGTCGCGCCGTTCAGAGCTGTACAGATCAGAGCTTATTTCAGTTCAGAGCTCAGTTCAGTTCAGAGCTTATGCAGCGCCGCCGCATAGCTGTAGATAGTTGCATAGCAGATCGTTTGACATACCAAT